CCCGCCACAGATCCTGCAAAGCCCACCTGAGACCTTCACAAATCCTGCACAGCCCCCTTGAGACCCTGCAGTCTCAGGGGGCTGTGCAGCATCTGTGGTGGGCTCTGCCCACCATAGACCTCGCAGAGCTCACCACAGATCCTGCAAAGCCCCCTTGGGACCCAGCAAAGCCCCCCGCAGATCCTGCAGGGACCCTGCAGGATATCAGGGGGGCTCTGCAGAATCTGTGGTGGGCTTTGCAGGCTGCAGAGTCCGCTATGAATCCTGCAAATCCCCCCTGAGACCCAGCAAAGCCCCCACAGATCCTGCAAAGCCCCCTGAGACCCGACAAAGCACCCCACAGATACTGCAGCATCTCAGGGGGGTTGTGCAGGATCTGTGGTGGGCTTTGCAGGCTGCAGAGGCCCCTATGGATTCTGCAAAGCCCCCCTGAGACCCGGCAAAGCCCTCCACAGATCCTGCAGAGACCCCCTGAGACCATGCAGTCTGCAGCATCTCAGGGGAGTTGTGCAGGATCTGTGGTGGGCTTTGCAGACTGCAGAGCCCACTACGGATCCTGCAGAGCCCACCAAAGGGTATTGCACAGCCCACCTGAGACTCTTTGGTGGGCTGTGCAGAATCTATGCTGGGCTCTGCCAGCACAGTCCTCTTACCTTGCACGGCCTGACCTCTTTGGAACACACGCCTTGTTTGCCTCGCGGCAGATACGCCCCTACCTCCTGCAGTTGGTTACTTATTGGCTCAAACAGCAGTGGCCTCCTGTGATGGTAAAACTCTAGGCCAGGCTGCCTGCGCCTGTGCAATAACATATTTTAGACTTGAATGGGATGTACAGTACCTACACTGCAGCAGCTTGTGAAATCTTAGAGCGACATAAAGCCCCTTTGACAGAGTACTAAAACTTTCTTAAGCCTAAACATTGGATCACTTCACTAACCCAATATCATCATCCCCCTTTTACCCTCTGCTCTTTTGAACATACCAGCCTACATAACCCCAACTCCCCACAATTGATCTCTTTGACCTATCAAATGCTAAAGTACTATCCATCCCACTTCCCAGTCTTATATTCAAAACTGAGAATGGGATCTCTCACCTCAACAACCCCCAGAAGACTGGAGAAAAAGCCTTGTCCAGAATAACCAAATGTTCCTCCAATGCAAACACAATGGAATAAGCTTGCAAGTGAATAATCTTGCTGTGTGGAAAAGTGATATGTTTAAAGTGTTCACAGTCACTTCTTTTAAAACCGTTAAAACCGGTAAATGTATTTTGCCTTTACTTTTTGATTCGTCCTCATATATATACAGTATATATAGTTTTTATAAGCTACAGGCCTTTCTGTGGGGGAAAAGGCTTACACATTTTAGCATTTATGTTACAGAAT